GGGACGCGTTGCTGCATTTTCGGACGCCGCGCGCTTAAAATTTCCATCTAAATAAAAGATCGCGTGACGAGACCGAGAACTCGCATGGAACTTCGTTTTTCACTCGATTTTACGTTTTTAACAGCAATGCTGTTTCGTTCAATTCATAAGGGAAATAAGGAAATGAAGACCCGTACGTCTTCTTGAAAAATATAATAAAAGAAATTGCACAACGAATGCTTGCATGATTTTAAACATGGCGCGTGAAGGGCGACGCATATCGCGCCAAGTCTGTTGACTTTCGATTAAGTTCAATGATTCGTGAACGTATGGATCAGGGGTGGCCGAACTTTTTTCCACCCTACGTGCCAACTTCTTCTCATGTGAGCTTCGACGCGCCACTAAATTATTTTAACAACAGAAACGTGTTTATAAATAGTAAACATATAAGAAGAAGAACACTTTAATAAATAATAATATGTTACTTTAACTTGCTCTATACACCGCTAGTCATAAAACGCGCCACCTCTGGTATAAATGAACAAAAGAACAAAAAGTTTAAAGCACCTTATTTCTCAAACATTCGACTTCAACTTTGAGTGATAAAATCTTTTTGACTTGCGTGAAATTGACTTTTCTCCGGCATACATATATATATTCCATATTCCTGTATTAGAGACTACTAAACAGTGAGACCATTGTTCGTTCTTATTAGAAATCGTAAACGCTAGATGCCTAGAAAAAAATTCGCGACTTTTCAGATTCTGGGGTAAGAGTGGCGAGACACTTAGAAAATTTGTCGTCCCAAGGTTCCTTCGTTTGATTACAATATTTTCTACAGAGACAAACCAATCGTTATCCTAAACGTTTGTTGGTAATTGCCAAGCTTTATCGCTTTCGTGCAATCTGTTGTCGAGCAATTTGTCTGCCTTCGAGCGATCACCAAGGCTAACCCTAGCGAAGTTAGGTTACATTAAGCATTAAGCATACTTTTAAATACATCCTTGGTTTCCTCCAGTTTCGAAACTGGCGCCAAAAGCTGGATTACTTGGCGATAAGCTGAACCAGTTCGCGACGATCGTTGCTTTCGCCTGAACGCGCGGGGCCATTTTCCTGCAGGCACAGGGAAATAGAGACTCTAGCAAGAGTGGGGCACGTGTGTGAAGTTTGATTAGCAATCACGTGTACAGGCGGAGGAACGCTTCAAGCGCTGTGCTACGGTGCTCGTCGCGGCGATCACCGTGTGCTTTGTTTATCGCACGGCTCGCTGGGGCGAGCGTAATAAACCGATCGAACGGATGGAGGAACATTTGGGTTACGCAAGCGTGTGCGCGCAACATTCGATCTTTTTTTTTCTCGTTTTTCAAGGACGCTTGCTCGCCGTTGCCACCGACGATGCAATTAAAAATGGTCGCGTCTCTCGTTCTCCACGCAAGAAAAAAGAGAGAGGGGAGAGAGAGAGAGAG